CAAGCCCGCACACGTCTTCTAGCGGAAGCTGCGCGCTCCGCCCCCTCTCACCTCAGCCCCCACGAACATGCATGGGATGTTTTCATGACAGCGACGTTTGAGAACGGCCTTTTGCCAAGTATTAGGCTAGAGAGTATCCGAGAGGACCCCCCAAACACATTCCAGGAAGCACGCATTCGCGCTAAGAAACACGAGGCCAATAACCTTAGAGGCGTAACCTCATCACAACCCGCTACCGTATCTTCTGTCGCGCACTCCGACCCTCCACAGCTGCAAAACACGGTCTCATCTAATACTGCTATCATCAAAGATCTTCAGACGGAACTTTCCAAGCTGAAGTCAGCGGTGAAGCAGCCCCCTAACCGTGCCTCCAGCCAGGGTTCGTACAGCAAGCGGGCTCGCACCTCGGACAAATCGGCAACCACCCCTGCTTCCAACCAGAAGGGAGGGGGGGATCAATGCCCCTATCCGGGATGCAAGTTCCGCCACACTATCGACAAGTGCGCCCTAAAGAAAAGTGACGAGTCCCGGGGCTTTAAGCGTGTAGCAAACTGACGAGGCCCTTCACGGGAGCCCTCGCCCGCAGGGACACGGACTGCTAGTACACCATTAGCTGATGAAACTCACTTAGCACATGTTGCCCGAGTAGATTCAGCCCCGCGTGTACCCAACGGTAGAAATTCGAGGGAATCATTTTTTCCTCGGGCTAAGGGAAGTGGTTTAAAATCCGTACGAGGTTTATCTAGCAGTGAGTCTGATACTCAAGTAGCAGCGTCTGCCCCGGTATCGTTCAAGAATCAGCCAAGTAGCAACGCAGGGAAGAAACCAAACGCACTCGTGCGTCAGGACCTAGGTTAGCCCCGCAAGCCCAACATGTACTGATGAACATGCCATTTAATAAAAACACAAGAAAGTGTGCCTCTGTGTCTCGCGTGTCTAGTAATAGTGGATCTCAATATGCATCGTTTCATACGTCTGAGAACACAAGCCACTGCCAAGGACAGAGGCCGGTGTTGTTGCAGTATTCACCCACTGCCAAGGGCGGATAGTTTCCTTCCGTGATATTTTTACGAGGAGGGAGAGGTAGAAAAAAGTGGCGCCTCCGAGGGAAAGTCTGGAGAGTCAAAGACTCTCCGCTTCTCCTCTCGGTGAATTGCCGGGGACAACGGAAGATACCGATTTCCAACGGTGCATATCTGGCCGTTCTCCCGATGGCAAGTTGCCCCTATGGATCGTATCTTCCTACACTCGTATGTGTACAGACGCTTGGTTCTACTTCCGATATGTGTCCTCCACATCACCCCCCCCATCTATGCGCCACAAGTCCATCTGGGTAAGGATGTGCTTGTTGGCGTCAGAGACATGAGTGGGACACGTGGAGACACATATATCGGACATATTGCCTGCGTCGTACAACATCACCAACCAGGCCTGAGTATCTTTTCGGACGCGTGTTGAAAAACACGGAGTCGTCAGGCGGGTTGATAGATGTGGTCCATACGAGCATAGTCTACAAAAAAAAACTAAGGGAGGTAGGTACCCATATAAGGGTGGCCTCCACATGTACATGATACTAATGACGGGTATCGGGCCACTACATTGTAGTCGCTAAGGATACTTTTAATCATTAATATTGGGTTTCGGGCTACCACATAGTGGTACCACATAGTGGTCGCTACATTGTGACATGCCATTGTGGAAAAGGTGGCCATTGTGGATAAAAGGTGATTGTACCTCGACAGGTGTTGGGGAGGTAGGTACCCATATAACGTGGCCTCCACATCACTAAATGTCATGGTTATGAAAATGGCATGCCATGTTGGGGGTGATGATGGTTGACTTGTAGGGAGGTAGTAAGCCTCTGGCAAGTAACCCGTTCATCATAAGAAAGACCTTGGGATAACGGTGGTTTAATACCTCAAACTCCTCGCCAGTGTTTCCCCAGACACTGATACAATAGGTTGGTGTTCTGAGAAACACAAGCTTCCACCGTGACCACAGGTTCCGTGTTAGACACAGAATAATAGTATGAAATTTCCCAAGTTTACAAAAGGTGAAAACGGTAGCTGTTAGAACGATTGCAAGTGTTTCAATCGTTTCATTTCCGGGCCCTGATTCGTTTTCGCTTGCTAGTTCGGCAGGGCAATGTAACATCACCCGGCTTGGGAGCAGTGCGAGGTGGGGTTCAATAGAACTCGTGTTTAGTGTTCGTCGTTTTCTAGTTTTACGCGGTGACTCTGGGTCACTGTGCACAACCGATTTTCGAGACAGACGCTGTTTAGAGTTCTTGGTTTGTTCCCGCTGTCGTTTCCTGGTTTCACTGGGTGATTCTGGGTCGCCCTGTGTAACTTGGGTACGACACGAATTTTTATTAGTGGGGCCGGTGTCCAAACCACAACGGATTCGGTAGGCAGCTATCATTTCCTGACATTGTGGAATTTCGTCTGCTCGGTATTCAAGGTCGGACTCAGGGCCATACCCTCGAAGGCGCAAACGGTACCTGTAGTTGTACGGGGTTTTCGGTCCCCGACCACTCTTATGGCTTACCACTTTGTCGACGACGTAGGACTCAATTTTCGGTTGAGTTTCGTTNGGTCGGACTCAGGGCCATACCCTCGAAGGCGCAAACGGTACCTGTAGTTGTACGGGGTTTTCGGTCCCCGACCACTCTTATGGCTTACCACTTTGTCGACGACGTAGGACTCAATTTTTGGTTGAGTTTCGTCAGGATGGTCTAGCTCGGGCAACGGAATCTGGCGGCCTAAGAAAAACTCGGAAAGTTTGTCGAAGTCCGGCGCAGGTGGTGTTTTCCTAGCATAGTACCGTTTAATATGGGCTAAATGGACTGAAACTTCTCGAGTTTCGGTTTGACGTCGCACTCTATGTACCACTGGGGATAGTTGGGAGCAAACAACGTAAGGTCCCCGCCACGGTAACAGCAGTTTTGGGTTTGGGCCGTCCGAATCTTGGTACGGTCGGTATACCAGTACTAAGTCACCACGTTTAAAGACAGGTATAGGACGCAATTTAGCGTTCTTGTCAGCTTGTTTCTGTGTGCGTTCCGACAGATTGCGGCGCGCTAACTCAAAAGCAACCTGTAAATTTTCCTGTGTGGCTTTAGAGAATTCTTCGGTATTTGCTGTTGTTCCTTGATGAGGAATACCGAGAATGATATCAACTGGTAGTCGGGGCTTCCGACCAAACATGAGCAAGAATGGTGTTTCATGCATGGTGGAGCTATACGATGTCTTGTAAGCCAGTTGAATAAAAGGCAGCAGTGATGCCCAGTTGTCGCGGTTCATAGAGCTATGCATGGCAAGCATTGCGTGCATAGTTGCATGTACTCGTTCTGAAACAGAATTACCTTGCGGCCGATATGGGGTCGTACGGATTTTCTTGTAAGTCAGAATCCGCTGTAACTGTTGTATTACACTGTTTTCAAATTCAGGACCCTGGTCGGAATGCAACATTTCAGGCGCTCCAAATATGCCTATGATGCGATCGATAATGGCCTGCGCAACAGTGGCTGCTGATTTATTGGGAATCGGAGTCAACACGGTGAATCGGGTTAGATGGTCCATCGTAGAGAGAACATATTTGCATCGTACCCCGGCGGTTGAAACCGATTCTACGTTATATTCGACTAAATCAACCGAAATACGTTCAAACGGTCTTTGTACAGGTATATGTCCCGTTGGGGGCTTGTTTCGGTTGTGGGCCGTTTTTCGACGTTGACAGGCTTGACATTCTTGACACCAAGTACGGACGTCTCGATTCATGGTTGGCCACCAATATTTTTGGCGGATCTTCTCATAAGTTGGTCTAGACGCTAAGTGGCCTCCGGACAATACGTGGTCATGATATGCATGCATCACCAACCCGGTTAGAGCTTGTGGTAATACTAATTGGTCACTGAACGTACTGCGTTTCCGGAGGTAACCTGGTAGATACGATTTATACAGCAACTCGTCGCGCACAAAGTAGTACGACATGGAAGTTGTTGTCTCGTTATCAGGTAATCGGGCGTCATCTTTCGTAAGATAGTCGATATATGTGCCGTACTCGAGAGCTTGCTTTTCACGCAAAACGTCGTGATTAATCGTCTCAAAGACATTGGTCGCGCTAACATAGACTGATTTCTCAGCGAATAATTCGCGATCGCTTTGGACTGTTGCAGGANTACAGCAACTCGTCGCGCACAAAGTAGTACGACATGGAAGTTGTTGTCTCGTTATCAGGTAATCGGGCGTCATCTTTCGTAAGATAGTCGATATATGTGCCGTACTCGAGAGCTTGCTTTTCACGCAAAACGTCGTGATTAATCGTCTCAAAGACATTGGTCGCGCTAACATAGACTGATTTCTCAGCGAATAATTCGCGATCGCTTTGGACTGGTTGCAGGTTATCCAGGCGATCTGCAGACACTTGGTACGGACGTTGTGGGACACTAGATTGTAATGCAGGGTCCTCCGGCACATTTCTGCAAATCGGTGCTAGTTGCGGGGTTTCCAACTGTTGTTGGTGATCAAACGCAAACAACCGAGAGAGAGTGTCTGGGACTACGTGTAACCTTCCCGGCTTGTGTCGCACGGTAAAGTCAAAAGACTGCAAAGCAATCGCCCACCTAGTCAGCATATTAGACGTGTCTTGCATCGTGTACAAATATCGTAACGCCGCATGATCCGTCACGACTTCAAAATGTTTACCCCACAGGTAGGGTCTCCAGTGTTGTAAACTCAAAACAACTCCGTAACATTCTTTCATCGTGGGGGAGTAGTGGCGTTGAGCTTTGTTAAATCGCTGGCTGAAGTATGCAATAATATTCAGGTCGTCACCATTCTTTTGGGCTAGAAATGCTCCTGCACCAATTTCACTGGCATCAACATGAACCACGAAAGATCTGGTAAAGTCAGGGAAACATAGTACGGAGGCTTCGCTGCTGAGTAAACGNCTTTCATCGTGGGGGAGTAGTGGCGTTGAGCTTTGTTAAATCGCTGGCTGAAGTATGCAATAATATTCAGGTCGTCACCATTCTTTTGGGCTAGGAATGCTCCTGCACCAACTTCACTGGCATCAACATGAACCACGAAAGATCTGGTAAAGTCAGGGAAACATAGTACGGGGGCTTCGCTGAGTAAACGTTTTACCTCTGCAAACGCCTTATCGTGTTCCTGATTCCATCGTTTTGCGATTGATTTCACATGCTCTTTCTGCGTGAGTTCGACTAGCGGCGCGATTACCGTAGAAAGGTCGGGTATATACTTACGTACAAAATTGACCATGCCCAAAGCCGAACGAAGTTCTTTAATGGCTTAGGGTGTAGGTAAGTCAATAATGGCTTTGATGCGATCTTCACCTATGCGAATCCCTTTCTCAGACATTATGTGTCCCAAAAATTTGACTTCTCTTGGTCCAAATTGTACTATAGAGGGTTTCAGGGTGAGACCGGCAGCTTGGAGGGCCTGCAGCATGCTTTCTAATAAAGTTAGATGGCTCTCCCAAGTAGAACTGCAGCAGATGATGTCGTCCATGTACACCAGAAGTCCACTGCGTGGTCCAAGGTGAGAAAAGGCTAGGGACATCATCCGGGCAAACAAGAAGGGAGCATTCGTAATTCCGAAGGGGAGGCGTTTAAAGACCCATTTCCCTTTGTGTGTTACACAAGCCGTCTTATCTTGCCNGACCCATTTCCCTTTGTGTGTTACAAAAGCCGTCTTATCTTGCTCTTCTGCTGGTATTTCCATTTGATGATACGCGTTTTGAATGTCACAAACTGTGATATATTTCGCACCACCAACGGTATCAATGTGGGATTCGATATCTGGCATGGGCCAAGATTTTCGAATTAAATTTTTATTGATCGTAGAGCGATAGTCAACGCAGAATCTGGGAGTGCCATCAGCTTTCGCTACTATGGCAACAGCGGAGCCCCAAAGACTGGGTCTCTGCTCAATAATCCCATCTTTTTCCATTTGAAACACACTTATCGATAACTTCCTGCGCTCTAGGGTTTGTACGATAGGGAGCACGGTCGACTGGTTTAGTGCCTGGTTCTAGGGGAAAATCTGCTTTGGCTATCGTGCATTTTCCAAGTTCTTTGGAAGACAAAGAAAATACAT